ATGGAGCCCCGAGCTGTGCTCCAAATCCAGCACTCTGATGTAGAAGTCCCTGCTAAAACTCCTAAACAGTACTTACTCAAGAGCCCCTTCCAGGCAGATGCCAACCTCTGGTGCACAGCTGCAGGCAGCTGGCCCAGCCTCTCTCACTCTAACCGGAGGACACAATGCTGGATACACCCGCACAGGTTAGTTAGGAGGCCTGGAGTTACATCAGTTCCCGATGGTAATAATTGGATGCGCCGTGGGAGAGTGAATAAACTATTCCATAAAAGGAAAAATTGTTTGGTGAAACTAAGGGGGCAAAAGATAGAAAACTTGAGGAAATATGCAGAGGTCTCTGGGCTTTCCAATTGGGGGTTCAGTGTAAATTAAGAGAGAATGTCAAGTTGAAGCATTACTCAAGAAAATAACCATTAAAGTAATAATGCTTACATAAGCAAAACGTGTTAAAACTCGATGTTGCACAAGAAGTGAACACAAACAATAGAATACGGTACTCAGTTATGGCTGGAGCCAGTCAACAGCAGAAAGAGACACAGACTCCATACATAAATTAGAAAAGATCCCACTGAGCCTGTAGATTGAAGAGCATATTATCCATATTCGTAATGTAAACTGATAAAAGTAAAACCATCAACTTGCTAACAAGAAAATGTAGTCCATCTCTTCCAGCCCATAATGGATGGATCAAGTAGCCAAAAAAATTTGCTAAATAAATAGGCAAAGAGAATAAATATAAATACCATGACTGTGTGTCTAAGTATCATATATCAGATTTGTACCTCAGAAAACAAAAGCATCATTTTCAAATATTTGTGAATGAAAAAAAAACTAACTGTTTGAATGTGAAATGTTCAGTAAATTAAGATAATAGAGCAAGTAAGTGTGTATACACTCTTACTCAATGATTCATTAAGCCATGAAACACACAGAGTAATCTAAAATAAATATTTCTGGGTCAAAGGCACCAATCTGGAAAGTCTATTATGTAGCTTCTAAGTGTGTGGCATTCTGGAAAAGGCAAAGCTATAGAAAAATCTGAGTGATCACTAGTAGATGGTGCTAGATAGAGATGTGTCCAGGAATACTGCTGAAGGCTCTACACGATGCCAAACAGCTTCCCAGACGTAATAATTCCCCTTTCCAAGCCACCGATAACGCTAGGCTGATGAACTCCACCGGAAAGTAACCAAAACATTATACTATAGACGAAAGCCAATGGATGGACTAAAATCTGAATAGGACAAATATTTAATCAAAATATAAGCAAAAAAGGAACAAAGGAACCAAAATAAAAGGAAAAAATAAGGACCAAGCAGCAGGCAGCCAGTCACATCAAAAGCACAGACATGAGTAAGTAACCATTGCAGTTAAAAGGCAGTGATGGCTGAACCGGATTAACTGTGTGATCTATGGGATTGCTACAGGAAACACAGAGGGCTAGTCAGTAGAGGCGAAAGGATGGAAAGGGATGTTCTAGTGAGGAAATGTAAGTATCTAAACAGTGGAGGTGCTGAAATAATATCAGATTTAAAACCAATCTTTAAAAACATCAGGCATTGCCAAGGATAAAGAGGAACACTGAGAAGCCTGGGAGGTGGTTTGGTGTTTAAGACCACTTACCCCTCTCACAGAAAATCCAGGTTCAGTTGCCAGCACCCATATCAGGTGGCTCACTACCTTTTCTAACTCTAGTTCCAAGGAATCGGATGCCCTCTTCTGGCCCCCTGATGTACTTAGAGGTTCATGATACACATAAACTCATACTTAAAAAAAAAAAACTCATTTTTAAAAAATAATGGCCAGGCTGTGGTGGCACACACCTTTAATCCCAGCGCTTGGAAGGCAGAGGCAGGGGGATCTCTTTGAGCTCAATGCCAGCCAGCCTGGTCTACAAGTGCTAGTTCCAGGACAGGCTCCAAAGCTACAGAAAAACCCTGTCTCAAAACACCAAAACATAACTAAATAAATAAATAAATAAATAAATAAATAAATAAGAATAATGAAAGTAAAATACAGATACACACAAATTTGACTATTTTTTAAGAAAATATTTTTAAAGAGGAAAATTGAATAAGGAAACAAAGATCATCTTATCAGGAAAAAATATATATATATATTAAAACATATCCAAAAAAATGAAGCAAAAATGGCAAAATTAATGAAAGAACTAATTTACACAATGACAACTTTTAATACTTCACTTCTCTTAGATGTATTTTTGTGTGTGTCTGAAATGTCCCAAAAGCTCATGTATTGAACACCCTGGAGAGTGGCACTAGCTTAGGAGGCGGGGCTAGTTGGAGGAAGAGACCTAATGAGGATCCGCCCTCAGTCACTGGCTTTCTCTCTTTCTGACTCCTGCTCCTCATGATCTATGTCCTCCGCCGGCTCCCCAACGCTGACAGATGCTAAGTCATATCTGGATTGAATCGAATCGTATGGAACCATTGGCCAACGTGAACCCTTCTGTCCTTTGAACTGGTTTTCGGAGGTACTTCATCACAACTGCGATAAAACTGACTAACGGGCAACCATGGTAAAGCTGGATACAATTCAGTCACATTGCAGACCGCTAAATTAACATTATCAAATGCATTAGCCTAAGTCATGTTTCAGTCAACTTAAACATAAAATTGGTACCATCTTGAAGATAGATAGCAGTTTAGTTCATGAAATAAATCAGGAACATGAGTTCCTGAGGCAGGAGAGATGGGTCAGTGGCTAAGGTTACTGGCTGCCCTTACAGAGGACACGGCCTTGATTTCCAGCTCCCACATGGCAACCCACACTAGTCTGGGACTCCAGATCCATGGGATCTGCTGCCCTCTTCTGGTCTTCACGAGCATCTGGCAGGTACATGGTACACAATGTACATGCAAATAAAATATTTATAAAGTAAGATAATATTTTTAATTTAAGGATATAGGTTCTCTAAATGAAATTTCAGTAATATACAGGTATTTAGAAAAAATCAGATAATAGGAGTTACAGCTTGCAAAGTATTTATGGATTTAGGAAGAAATCAAAAGGAAAATAATTAGAAAATATCGCAGAATGAAACTAAAAAGACAACACATTTCAATGTATGTGAGGCATGAAAAACAATAGTTGCAAGTCTAACTGTGAGTACTCACAGTAGAAAACAAGGCAGATCTTACATGATAACCTTGCTTTCTTCTTTAAGCAGCTGTGGAAGAGGAAAAGCAAACCCTAAATAGACAGATGAAATAAATTGTAGAGAAAAGAGCAGAATTCAGTAAATAGCAATCAGGCAATAGGGAAGCGCAGAGGGAACAAAGGGCGTGTCTCTTTAAATCTAAATTAATAGATGAGCAGGAAACCCAGAGGACACAGATCGCCCTCAGCGAGAAGCGAGGACATTACTAACACATTGTACTGACATCAAAGGGGAAATGAGGAACACTGTTAATAACTTTATAATGTCAAACCCAACCAGCCCAAAATGCTTAAGAAATTTGTTAGAAAACACAGTTCACTAAAATTAAAGTAAATCAAAGAAAGCATAATTATATACTATTCATAAAATAATTTTAGAAATTATTCCACCTAGTGATGTCAAGATTTCCCATGTTAATGCTATCAAACATCCAATCACACATAAACAAAATCTTCTAAAAGGTAAAGAATAGAGTATCTCTTAACTTACTGTCTGAGGACAGCACAAGGCACATGTTAACCTGTGACAACCCCAGAGTGACAAATGACAGACTACTGTACCTCACACATGTCAGTACAGAGTTCAGGAGAATAATTGAAACTGCACTGTGCTTGGGTGAGCGGAATGGAATAAAAACTGTGGAAATACCCAGATATGTGTGAGGAAGGTAATACATGACGCATGTGCATTTCAAACCAGTAGGGAAAGGAGGGATACTGAAGAAATGATAGGGAGAATTTTAGCTGGTTCATCTCTAACAATTCCTAAAGGACAAACGCTTGCTCTGGTCAAAAAAGAGGAATTTTACAGAAAATTGCTCTCTTCACATTCTTGTAATGTAAATTAAACAGAACAATAATTTTTTTAAAAAAAATCTAGTTTATGAGAGACCCCAGAGTACCAGCCTCAGCGCCCCTCAGGGATCTGAGGATGCTCTGCAAATGGGTTACTTCACTGAATGTGATCCCCGTGGGTTAGCCTGGTGATTTTGTCAGCTGCATTCTCACTGTAGAATCCTGGGGACCACAGCACCTCCCCTTCTTTTGTTTAATAAATGCCATGTGTGTCTATCTCTCTGGGCAATAAATAATGTGGGTAATTAAAGTCTGAGGATGATTTTGAAATTAATAACCAAAAATTTATATTGATGGCAAGCTGAGAACTAGTTTAACCATCTTGTAGATAAGTTCTATATGATTTAAGAATGTCTCTCATCTATAGCAGTTTATTGTCAAAGTAAGAAAGTTTTATTACACACACTGTTAGTGAGATTAGGTACCAAAGGATGCCCTCTTGCATCAAGATTTACACTTTACCGGGTGGGCATTTGTCTATGGTGGGGCACTGACTTTGGTGAGCTCTGTCCATCTGGTTTTACAGAACAACTTGAGTCACCAACCACATAGCATGCCCTCTGATCATGCCTTACTCTTTCGGGCTATGCTTTTCCTCCTGCTTGGAATACTGCCTGCCTTAGTAGCTCCTATCAAATACTAGCTCAAGTGCTTCTACAGGGAAATCTCCTCTAATTGTTTGCCTTATGAATTGAGTAGAAACTTTTTTCTCTATATTTCCATAGGTCTCCCTACTTAGCTACATCTAACTATTTACTTAGGTTCTCATTCTAAATCACCAATCTGCTTATAAAATCACATCTCTGGTGCTTAACATAGAATAGAAGCTAACTTGATGCTTTGATGAGCTTAATGGTAGGACTTCCCTTCTCCTCTGCTTTTCAAGCAATTGACCACATAATTGATTTCTCTGCATATATCTGTCTGGCTTCATAGCATCTTCAAGTGCAAGGCATCATACTCACTTGTCCAGAGACATCCCTGGGAAGATGAACTTGCCCAGGTAGACACGACAGATGGCACTCAGAGGAATCTGCTGTGTCTGCACACAGCTAAGCATGATGAAGTCATATTTGCAGATCAGGAGGGTCTTGTCTGTGAGAATCAGGATCTTCTCCTTCTCGTTATTCCAATGATCAATCCTGTAGGAACAAACACAGGGTGAAAGGAACAATTACATGACCTCTTGAATAGAAACAACACCATTCACTAAAACATCAAGCACTGCACAAAAGTGGGGGCTGAGAAATACCTACCGCCACTTATTGTCTGTCAATCTATCCCAGGTGTAAGAGATGGGAGAAGAATAAAGAAGCCAGGGAAAGACACGTCTTATGACCATGGAGCTCAAGATGGTTCCCCATTAGACAAACCCATTTGAGGACACCAAAGTCTGTATTATCGTGTCCTCCAACCAATATTTGTACATCACACCCTCCCGGCTCTCCTGGAAACTTTCATGGAGCAGTCCTCCTTCAAGAATACCAGGAATGAGGGCTGGAGAGATGGCTCAGAGGTTAAGAGCATTGCCTGCTCTTCCAAAGGTCCTGAGTTCAATTCCCAGCAACCACATGGTGGCTCACAACCATCCGTAATGGGGTCTGGTGCCCTCTTCTGGCCTGCAGGCATACACACAGACAGAACACTGTATACCTAATAAATAAATAAAATATTTAAAAAAAAAAAAAAGAATACCAGGAATGTCATTGTCCTAACACAGGCTATACCACAAAGCCCTCTCATGGCCAGCTGGCTTACACTGATCTCCAGGAATTACTTGCTATGTGGAGAGGAAGCAGAGACTTAGATGCAGACTACCATGATCTAAGCTCATCACATCACATCCAACTGGGGATAGATAGCCAAGCAATCAAGCAACAGACACTTGGTAAGCGCTCACTTTTGACTCGCTCCCAAAGTGAGAGAGCCTTTGGAGGCACACAGGGAGTATTTTGACTGTGAATTAAGAATCTGAAAGAAAATAAGAAGGAAATACAATAGTGCTTTCTGATTAAGAGGGAGTGATCATATTCTGCAGTTCTTGCCAATATAGAAGATCCTTCAGGATTATGGGGCCAGAGAGATGGCTCAGCAGTTAAGATCACTGGTTACTCTTGCAGAGGACCTGGGTTTGATTCCCAGCACCCATTTGGTGACCCATAGCCATCTGTGAGTCCAGTTCTAGGAGATCTGCTACCCTCTTCTGACCGTCATGAGCACCAGGCACACACATGATTCATATACATGCATGCTGTCAAAATAAGCACATATATAAAGATAAGTTAATTTTAAAAAGACTTTATGACTTATTAGAATTTAGTGTATGCTTTTTAGTAAACAACTGACATGGTTTGTTTTGTGACCAATTCCTGTCTGAGTTCTGAGCACATATAATCAATCTAGAGGTGGAGTGTTATAGACTTCCTGTCCCCAACCATTTCCCGAGCAGAAACCATGGTGTAGTTCTTGAAATGTGAAGCAAATGACTTTGCTCCCTTAACTTTACTGCACAGTTTCCCCTTAACCTAGGCTCCTAAGACAAACTACCCATCTCTATATGACCTGGACTTTCCCCAGAGTCATCTTACAGCAGAGAAAATACCTAGTGCCCTAGTTGTGGTTCAAATTTGTGGGTTTCTTAAGCTATTTTATAAACCTGTCACTTTATTGGGTTGTCTAGAAGCAGCTTAACCCTTTCTCTTCCTGCCTATATCTACATAATTTATTTTTAATTTTTAATTTATCAAAGCATTTTGCAAATGCATTATATTTTATTACATGATTATGATTACATGTAATTTTATTATAATTACATAAATATATTTGAGAGTGAAAGTATAAAATACAATGTGAAGCCCCACAGTTTCCATTCCAAGTGGCAATTTCAACTGTATTCAGGTTCATCAAGTTGTATCATCTTTGAGTCTGACTAATTTCATTGTCGGATTTCTTTCATCTACATAAGTTCTAAGAAGGAATAATGTACAAAGTGTTCAGCAGCAAGTACCATAAGGACACTGGCCATAAAGAATAAATACTGCCTATAGAAGGTGGCATGGTTCAAGAAAGTATGGACCATCAGCCCTATTTGTACAAAAATGTATGAGGAAATGGTTAAGGTTAGGATTAGTGTATATGTCTATGAAATAAAAACATGTGTCTGAGAAAATAAACAGATGTCAAGGAGGATTTGGGGTCCTTTGAGGAGATGACTATTATGAATGGAAAGATGAATTCTATCACTTAGTAATCTTTTACAATTAGAGCTATAATCTTTTGGCTTAAGGAACTTGTCTGTGAAATGGATACAATACCTTCCTCATTATTCTGGGGAAGGAGTATGGGAAATGACTCCATTGGGGTTCTGAACTTCTCAGTGCTTATTAATGGTGTGGACTTAGGTCACTAAGGGGCTTTGGGCAACAGAATATATATGTCACCTTCTTTGTGATCTAAAGATGGGTAAGAAGAAATGAAGTTACATCCATGGGAGGAGGAACTGGAGAGGAATGAAAGAGGAAACTGGAGACAAGATAAAAAACAAAGGGAAACCCAGGAGGAGTGGGCTGAGAAGCTGAGCATTGGCTGGAGCCCCAGTGCACAATGGCCATTGTGCTAGAAAGTTAAATCAGAGTTACAGATGGTGCAAAGAAGAAGTCTCGAATCCAAGCAGTCTTACTGAAGTCAGGATTCTGTGGTTCCCACCCACTCTAAACAGCAGCCTTCAACTCCTACTCCCCCAAGAGATGATTCTTGATAGTTGGCTTAACACCGTCTGTCTTAGGAAGATGCAAAGACTGAGGTGTCCTATCAGCTATCTGCGTAAACTTCTCAAAATAGATCATGTCTACTTAGCAGTATGTTATACATGGCTGTCTAATAAACCAGACTTGTTTAAAGTCTGAGAAAAAGAAAAAAAAAAACCTGCAGCTTTGGGCTGAATGGTTTTACTGAAAATGTCAGCACTCCATAATGAGATTTATTTTAAAGGTAAAGGATTCCGNGGGGGGGGGGGGGGGGGGGGGGGAGAGGATTCTTTTTAGGAACACAGAGTGCTCTGCTGTGACACAGACTCTGCATAATTTACGTGTTGGGATGCCTGAATCCAAGTAAACACGCAAGCCTATAAAAAACTCTGACCACCAGCACCAGCTCCAGCTCCAGCTCCTAGGTGGTGGTGTTTATTTGGACTTCAATCATATCTTCATTTCTTGTAGAACTCAGGTAGACATTTGAACCACATAGTCCTGAGATGAATGCCCTTGAAGGCGGGGGGGGGGGGCAGTAATAACAAACACAGGAAAAGGAGTAACAACCACACAGCTCTACTGCAGCCGGGGAGGTTACTGAGGCCTGGGACATCAATGCTCTCCTTCACTGCTCACAAAATCTAACCCTTTAGACTAAATGTCATCACTCCTGTTTTAAAGATACATAAACTAAAATGGTACACTTGGGTATGTTACACATATACTGAGGTTTCTGTCCTGCCAGGTCCTGCAGTGGTTCAGTCCCAAAGAAATACACAAAGGTCTACATTAATTATAAACTGACTGGCCCATTAGCTCAGGCTTTTTATTAACTCTTATAACTTATATTAGCCCATAATTCTTGTCTGTGTTAGCCACATGGCTTGGTGCCTTTTTTGGAGAGGCAGTCATATCTTGCTTGCTTGGTATGTGACTTCCTTTGTGACAACTGCGGACGGAAACTTTCCTCTTCTCATAATTCTCATTGCCATGCCTATACTTCCTGTCTGGCTACTGGCCAATCAGCGTTGTATTAAAAATAAAAGCAGTGACAGGATAAAAGATCGTTGTCCCACAGTGGCCACCTAGACCTGCTTTACCTTCTCCTGCTCTTCCTGCTGACCTCTGCCCCCTACTTCCCTGAGGGCAGGTTCTGTGCTGGGCTTTGCTTTTGCTTTGTTTGTCCATTTGTCTTTTGTGTATTTTTGTTCAGATGGTTTGATTTGGTTTGTTATGTAAGAAAATCAATCCACCATTACTCACCCTCACTTAAAAAGCTTTAGTAGGTTTTTTCAGTAGCTCTTAGAACAAATAACAAAAGAAACTAGAAAGTTTGGAGGGTTTTTTTTTTTTTTTAATGTTTTGGTTTTGTTTGTTTGGGAGCTTTTTGGTTTGGATTGTGTATTGGCCTATTTCTTCGTTTGTTTTTGAGACAAGTTCTATTCTGTAGCCCAAGTTGGCCTCAAACTTATTAAGTAGTACAAACATTTGAGGACACTCTGCCTTGGCATCCCAAGTTCTGGCTGATAAGTCTGTGCCACTATGCCTGGTAGAAAATGACAAATTGAAATTTAACCCTGCCTTAAGGGTCAGGTCCCAGTGGCTTCATTTCAGGCCCAGTTTTTGGACTCTATTCTCCTTTGTCTGATTCTGTTGTTTTTCCATTTGTTTGCTCAGGTTTTAGTTTATTTGGTTTTGTACTCCATCCTCTGTAAGAAATTTTGTTCATGCTGGTCCCTTAACAGGCAATGTTTCTTATCTTCTTTGCCTATGTAATGCCTACAAATGCCTATGTAATGCCTACAGATGTGTAGGTAATGCCTACAGATGCCTAAGTAATACCTACAAATGCCTATGTAATGCCTACAGATGTGTAGGTAATGCCTACAGATGCCTGGGTAATGCCTACAGATGCCTAGGTAATGCCTACAGATGCCTAGGTGATGCCTACAGATGCTTAGGTGATGCCTACAGATGCCTAGGTGATGCCTACAGATGCCCAGGTAATGCCTACAGATGCCCAAGTGATGCCTACAGATGCCTAGGTGATGCCTACAGATGCCTAGGTGATGCCTACAGATGCCCAGGTAATGCCTACAGATGTGTAGGTAATGCCTACAGATGCCCAGGTAATGCCTACAGATGCCCAGGTGATGCCTACAGATGCCCAGGTGATGCCTACAGATGCCTAGGTGATGCCTACAGATGCCTAGGTGATGCCTACAGATGCCTAGGTAATGCCTACAGATGTGTAGGTGATGCCTACAGATGCCAAGGTGATGCCTACAGATGCACAGGTAATGCCTACAGATGCACAGGTAATGCCTACAGATGGCTTGAGCTCCATCCCTGCTCACTGCAGCACAGCCTGGCCTATGTGAACACTTCTAGTC